TCCTATGTGCTAGGCACCACAAATAACACACCAAAGTCATGGCTATAGCAGATGTGATTCTTTCTATACAAACATCACTTCCACATAGGAAAAAGTGAAAAACATACACGTTGATCATTATGTATAACAATCACACATGTAGCTGTCAGACTGAGGAGATAAACTTGGGGGGTCCATGCTATTTTCACATGTAAGTGTAGAAATCTTGGGATGTCTAAAGCAGCCCATAGATATTTCCCCAAAAGCCAGCCGTTGAAAATACCTGAAGAAAAGGTGAGTTGCAGAGAGAGAGAGAGAGAGAGAGAAGACCAAGTCTGACAATAAATCATGAATGATGTGGAAGTGGATGCTCGGATGGTTTAAGAAATGCTTTGTTCAAGAAGTGGGTCTTGAGAGAGAGCATGGATGTATGTAGACAGCAATGATGTGTAAAGGCTTCTCTCAGTACACGCTTCTGATTGTATTCTATAAACTTTGGGATGCATTTGACCACTCTGATAACTTTACCTCTGTGGCATCCCAAACATTAAGATAATGGTTGAGAGTGAATTCTGTACTAGAGTATAATACCTATTATTTGTGTAGAGTTCTATAATACCTGCAACACCTTAAGAACATTTGTGGAGAATGGGACAAAATATGACAGAACTGTCTACAAATAACAGATATACTTATGAATTTTATGAACAGTAAGGGTTTACACAGAAATTATGGATGTATCTGGTTCATGGTATTTTAAGAGGGATAAGTTGTGTTAGTTTCTTGTCTGCAGATAGAACAACAGATCGTTTGGTCTGCTTGAATACATTTGTTATGTCACTCTTTTGTGAGCCAGAGACCACTTCAGAGACCACATTTGTAGACACAATGGTACAATCACAATTGGGACGAAGGGAAGGGAGTTATTACAAAGAAAGGCCAGCATTCCAAGACAGAGGTATTTGCATTACATTAGAGCACAGATGAAAAGAAGATCCAGTCAAAAGAGTACATGGACCTCTCTGTTTTTTCTCCAGTGTGGTGAATTTGTGAATCTTCCAGTATCATAAAGAACAACTGAAAAGCATAAAGCATGTAATGTTGATTTGTTTGTTCCTGTTTATGGCCCCTCTGGCTTTTATATACTTAACAGTGCTGTGCCTCTCAACAGTTAATAACAATGAAAAAGTGACCCTTGGAATGAAGTAGTCTTTGTAATATGCAGTTTTTCTATTTAACCTGACTAACGGGACAAAAGTGCACATAAATAACATTCATTTAATCTCCCCTTGCAATCTTTTTGTATACAACTATCTAGGAAATATTGCTTTGAAACAAGTTAGGCAATCATATCCAATAATACCTTCGCCCAATAATAATACCCAATTATATCTTCGCCCATCTCAAACTCAAGCCATTGCTCATTCTCTCTCAAGATAACAGTAACACCAGCTCTCCCCAAGATAGCCTTTGCCACCAGGTAATTTTTTTTACAGATACTTATTGAATATATTGAAAGCTTTGCTTCAAAATGACACTTGTCATATTCATAAATACCTAAGAACTAGAAGCCAAATGGGACTCTGCAAATGAAGGGGTAGAGCTATGCAGCTAGAAGCAGATTCAGTTCTCTGGCTCTGTTCTCTGGCAGTGATACGGGATACAGATTATCAAGACTGACAAAATCTGCCATCTGATGCTGTTGGTGTCAAAGATGGTCTCTTCTTCTAGAAGCCAGGGTAGTATACTGCTTAAGAGTGATAGACTCTAATCTGGAGAACCAGTTTGATTCCTCACTTCTCCACATGAAGCTTGCTGGGTGACCTTGGGCCAGTCACAGTTCTTTCAGAACTCTCTTAGCCCCATCTACCTCACAAGGGAAATGTAATCATAAGCCATTTGGAGACTCCTTAAGGTAGAGGAAAATGGGGTATAAAAACATCTTCTTCCTGACTCCTGCAAAGGTTTAAGAACACTAATATCCTTTAGACCAGCAGTTTAGGGATAACAATGTCCCAGTGTGATAATACCACTAAATGTTTTGAGCCAATTTTCGGTCTTTTTTCCTGAATCCCTCTATGATCTGCATTTTTTATTCCTTTATTATTAAACTCATTTGACCAAAGGTCTTAAGCATAAAACCAAGACATCACAGCAGAGCAAAACAAAGCCAGAATAACATATATATATGTTTAAAATTTATTTTAAAAATTATAAAAATTATAAAAGACATAGGAGGATAAGATATAACAGTGGACCTATACAAATACTCATAAGGTCAGCAAGATAATACTCATTTTAGCATTTTAAGGAGATCACTGTTGTCAAATATTTTGCAACAGATCGAGTTATTTCTTGATCAAGATTTGCTAACGATAGAGATGTTACCCAGGGCTCAACTGGAAACTGATAGCTAGAAAAAAGGGATAATCCAAAGAGCACTGGGAACAGTCCATTGATCACAAAATAGCAAAATATGGTCTACCATCTCTAATGCACTGGATACACAACCACAAAAATGCTCTGAAAAAGGAATTTTAGTATAGCATCCTCTCCGTTCTGCAGTCCGCAGGACATTCAGTCTGGCAAGCATAAAGCCACACCTATGACTAGGGATTGTAAGAAGTTTCAAATATGAGGGGAAGGTGAGAGGGAGGAACCCCTAGTACAGGAATGGAGCATGCACGCCTTGCCCGGGCTAGTATACTGGCATGATCAAGGTCAATCGCCCTTGTTCTGATCATCCACAATGCTTCCTGGTATTCCATATTCCTGAGCATACTGAAGGAAAGGCCAAGAAACTCAAGCCTATTAACTACACACCTCTCTCAAGCACTTATAAAATTATCTTCCTTCACAGAATGCAAGGGGCCCCCCTCCCCCCCCCCCCGGTACTGAGCACTGAAAAAAGAACTTTCAATTTCAGATTAAAAACAGCAATCCAAGCCCTGGGCTCCAATGAGTGCTGTGCAAACTCTGCTCTAAGAGTAATTCCTGCATCGCAGCTAGGCACTCCTGCTGTCCAGTGAAGGAACTGAAGAAGTGTATGATCTAGAGACTCAGAAACTCCTTTTATTTAACTGCCTGCCCCCAAACGAGACCTGACTAAATCCACAAAAGTCGTAAAAACACTTTGTCTGCAGGAATCAAACCTGAGGGACCGTCTTTTGCCATATGTCCCCTAGAGAGCACTGAGGTCAGGGTTGCAGAACCGCCTGACTCTCCTTGGTCCGAAAGACACCAGATTGGCCTCTACCAGAGCTAGGGCCTTTTTAGCGGTGGCTCCATACTGGTGGAATGAGCTCCTGGAAGACATCAGGGCCCTGCGGGACTTCTAACAGTTCCGCAGGACCTGTAAAACGGAGCTCTTCCACCAGGCCTTCGATTAGGAGCCACCACTAATGAACCACGAATGGACTATTCAAAACCGAATTCTACAGCCCTCACGTTAATGGCATTAGAACTCCTAAGGATACTGGCTCAGCTACATTGGACCACCATACAGCAATCACCATCTGCACTTAACTGCACTTTGTACACTATTATGTGAATGTTATAATATTGCATTTATGCATCCATGTTTTATTGTATTTTAACCTGTTCTGCGCCGCCCTGAGCCTGTCTATACAGGAAGGGCAGGATATAAATCGAAAATAATAAATAAATAATAAATCAAACCAAAAGTCAAAGGAGATGCACTTAAAATAGAGTATAAATTACAGGAATGTAATCCTAATTTTCTGAAAAACCACCTGACAAGGTGACTTTGCATTTAGAGGATGTGTTTCAAGCATTCAGATCATATCTCAGTAATCCTTCACAATATCCCCATAAAGTAGATCAATAATATTACAATTTGAGAGGTTTGGCTGAGAGAACAGCAGCTTGCCTAAGGCCATCACAGGAACTAATAGTCAATTGGAAGATTTGAACCGAGGACTCTTCTGCTCACATTCCTACCCACAGCTGTCAAACCAAAGTGATGCAACAGTTGCAACAGAATGCTCATAGGCTGCAGTCCTCATTATGATACCTTCTAAACAAACACAATGCACAAGAGAAAGATTTTGCTGAAGAAATTGTAACAGCGCAAAACAAATTTCTTTCAAAATCTGTATATTTTCCTAAATTGTATGATAATTTTAAAAATTGTGTCACAAAGGAAATATTTCAAAGAGTCGTAGGCATGTTTAATTAAAGGTATTAAGTAGCACAATATCTTTCTGAGTATGAAATTGGAATGGTCCCTATTCCTGAATAAACATTAATTCATTTTCCATGATTAGGCAGGTTAACTCTATGGTCTCCAAAGAACGAAACAACTCGGCTTTGCTTTAACTCCATGATTTTGTGTTACTTTGGATATGACTTTACAGCTCCTTCAAATAGGACCGGTGTGTCCAATTCATTTACCATTTATTGTCTTGACCATATGTCATAACAAAATAATATGTACAAGTCAATATAAAGCTCAGTTTTCCATCTGGAGACTCAAATTTAGTTTTAGTATGCAGAGAGACACTGTCTCAGTGGTAGAAAACCTGTTTTTGACACAGGAAGGTCCCAGGTTCAAGCTCTAGCATCTCCTTTTAAAGGGATTAGGTGGTAGATGGTGTGAAAGGGTTCCACTTAAGACCCTAGAAAGCTACTGCCAGTCAGAGTAGACTGATTGACCTGTGGTGTAGCTTAGTATAATACAGTTTCATGTGTACATTACATATTAGTTTGTTTGCTATATACATATTGCCATGTGAGCATCTTTCTATATGAACACATACTGAAAGAACATGCAATTTGTATATATACATGTATGATTATTGCCCCAAATAAAAATGAACACATATGTAGTTTGTTTTCTATAGTGCATTGCTTTCTCTGTAATAATTTTTGAATCATTTGAATTTGGGTATGTTCAAGCAAGTATGTTCTTCACTTAGGCATAGCTGATAGCACAGGTTGAAAATCCCTGTTTTAGACTTCCTTTTGTAATCTATGTAGTTAATTTTGTCTGTGTTTTACAGCTGAAACAATAGAAGAAAAACCTGCAGATTCCCTGCAAGATTTGTACCGATCCTTGGAACTAGCTAGTTTGTCCCCTTTAGGAGACCAGCAAATTTCTACCAAGATGGAGTACAAGAAATCATTTATTAAAAGATGCAGTGATCCAGTAGTTAATGAAAAATTGCACCAGCTGCGAATTCTGAAAAGCACTTTAAAGGTAAGTTAATGCAAGGATGGACAAATCTCTTGAAAGTGTTGAATCCTCTGTAGAGTACAGTTTCCCACTCATCTCAGAGAGTCTGACAGTGGAAATGCCATGAGTGATTCAGAGAGAAAGAGTAAAGGCTTGCTTGTCAAGATGTTAAACCACACACCTCTGCTTTACCTTTAACATCTTTGGTTGTAACTGCTGAGCTTTAAACAGGGACTTGATCCATCAGATTGTGGATATCATTGATACTGAGACATTCCTTTTATACTTTGGAACATGGAAACTAAGTACTTTCCTATGTGAATGATTTCTCAGAAACTCATACATATTTTTAATCACATAGGAAACCTTCAATGGGAGTTAATGCCCTAGTCCATTATATTTGTGCCTTTGTAATACCATATAACTAGCATCCTACAAGGTTTCGGTGCACTGTAAGGAGGTGTCAGCTTCTTAATCCAGCTCAGTATTGTAATTTCTTTCATAATATCCTGGAATAAACCATAATCAGTGAAAATACACATGCAGCTGCATGGAAATTAGTTATTTTAAACTTATAATGATTTAATAATTTAATGTTTATATTTACAATATAGGATTACATGTGAGGAAAACTGTAAAGTTGAAATGAGTTCATAACCGGGTACTCATAATGTTGGACTATGTTGGACTTTGTTTACAATATTGTATAATTGAGAATGCTGAAAAAACTTGTTGCAATTTTATAAAATCTAAACAGTTATATACATCTTCTTGGTGTTCATATCACAGTGTTTGCTTGTGTGTTTTTCCTGTTGGATACCTGTGATCCCTTTGTTTTGTGCAGTTTAAACCAGGCGGCAGGAGAAGGCAGCCAATCCGGGATCACTGCGCCTGCTGGGAGCCGATCACTCCCTGCAGGTGCAGCTCTGTACTGCCCTCTACTTCGCCTGGTTTAAACTGGGCAGCAGGAGAGAGCAGCCCAGCCAGAATCGGCTGTGCCCACAGGAAGCCTGTCTCCCCCCACCGGCTCAGCTCTGTTCTGCCTTCTCCTGCAGCTCGGTTTAAACTGGGCTGCAGGAGAAGCCAAGTCAGCCCCAGGATCAGGCTGGTATTTTTTTACCGGCATTTTTCAGTTCTGGTCTATTGGACCTGAACATTTTAGGAATTTCCAAAAAATCCCAGATCCAAATACCATACCGGTATTTAGATTCAAGATCTTTTGGGAATCCCAATTTTTTTTTAGTTCAATAGACCTGAACCAAAAAATACTGTTTTTTTAAAAAAAGATGCCACACCCCTACTGGCAACTGTGCTGCATGCCCTGGTTATAGCTAAAGTAGATTACTGCAATACATGCTACATAGGGCTGCCCTTACAGAGTGTTCGGAAACTTCTGTTGGGGCAGATTGCCACTGCTAGGGTGCTCAATACAGTGGGTCATAAGGACCATATAACTCCAGTCTCGGCCACCTACACTGGCCCCAGTCTGTTTAATGGCACTATTCACAGTGATGCTATTGACCTTTAAAACCATATATGGTTTGGGACCAACACACCTGAAGGACTGTGTACTCTCTTATGAACCTACCCAACCACTATGGTCATCTTTGGAAGCCCTGCTTTGGGTGCAGCTACCTTCTGAGATTAGGTGGGAGGCAACCAGGGAGAAGGCCTTCTCATTTGTGGCAGCAAAACTCTGGAATTCTCTCCACAGGGAGATTTGTCTGTCCCCTTCTGTTGCTATCTTCCCCTGGAGTGAATACTTTTTTGTTTAGTTTGCCATTCCGTCAGTGATCACTCCTCCTACCCAATGTTTTCATTGATGTTTTCATGTCTTTGTATGTATTTTTGCTTTGGTTTTTAATATCGGTGATATGTGCGTGTGTGCGTACACATTTATTTTGTTTGATTTTACATGTTTATAAATGTATATAAATTTTGTAAAATAAAGTTTTGCAAAATAAAAAATAAATACAGAACAAAGATTTCAGTTTATCAAAACACCAAACACAAATTCTTAGTAAAGAGTACACAGCTGGAAACTTCTTACTTGTTTTACAAGGAAATTATCCAGATATTAATACAAAATTAGGCACTATAAATAGTATATGATACTGTATCTCCATTATCAAGGTGTTCTGAATTGCCATGGGTATGCTCTTTCATATTTTTGATCAGATATTTGTTTTCTTCTAGGCCAGAGAAGAAGAAGTCGCCATCATAGATAAAGTCCTGGATAATCCAGCCTTGACATCTAAAGACTTTCAAGACTGGAAACAAATGTATCTTGACCTCTTCCTGGATATTTCTCAGAATAATCCCACAGAGGACCCTGTAAATGACTCTGATGAAATTGATGCTCTCCTAGACTCTTTAGCACATACTCATTCCTACATTGAAACACACGTATAAAAACAATTTTCAGTCTTTATTTTTGTTCCTTCCTGGCACTCCAGACCTTTGCTCAAGTGCACAGAGTAGCTTTTATATTAACGTACAGGAGATCTATTTTAATGTTTCTGATGAGTGAAGTACAATTTCCGTAGTCATTGTGTGAATATAACATTATATAATTTTAAAGCTGCTGATGCTCAGTTCATGTTTATGTTTACAAATATTGGTCACAATCCAAAGAAGCAATATGGGGTTGGGGAACTGTGTGCTTTTGGTTTGAAGTTGGTGCCACAGCAATTCTCACTGCTTAAAGAGGGTTTCTCGCTAGTAAAGAGTGTTACATTTTAAGCTGAAGCAGCATGCATGCTTCTTCTTTGAACTGTGTCCAGTGTCTTTAACAGTTAAAAAGAATATTTTAATGAGTATATTTTTGAGGATTACACTGATTTATCAAGAGGAAAGTTGGCATAAAAATAGTGTTTTACTACTGACGGTCTATCAGTTTCCTATTAAATAGTATATAATTGTTGTAAATTATTTAGTTACATTTTCAAAGTGTGGCCTTTGTTTTGGCCAGTGTGGAAATTAAACTTTTATATTTGGTGGAATACTTTAGGTATTTTCGTAAATTATGAGGAAAGTATAATGCTGTGGTAAGGGTTGCTTTTTAACTAATAGTCAGGGAGTAAGAAAAATATCGGACTTCCATAAGCTTATGTTAAAAGTTTAAAGCATCATTTTTCTAGTCTCTTAAAAAACAGTTAATAGACAATCTAAAGTTCAGATTTAATATGAGAGTAAAGGATTCTTTTTGTTGTTGTTTTAGCACCGATTTCTCAAAATGTATGACTGGACTGTGTTATTTGATCACTTCTTACTGTTACACAAAAATGGTACTGTTAGCCAAAGGGTCCATGCAGTGGTTAAAAATAAAGTCCATATTTCAAATGCTTCCAGTAGCTCAAGAAATTGGAGATGTTTTGGAGATTCTGGTATGTAGGCAGTGGAATCATCTAGTAGCTTTTTTGGGTGGGGAGGGGGGATTACCTATAATGTTCACAGGTTCAAAATGACAGACTCAGAAGAAACGTATACACAATGAAATCTGTCTTTCAGAGTCCACATTAAGTATTTTAAATTGCACTTTGATTTTGATAATAGGTGGGCTGAATAGAACTAAACTAACTTAGGACCAATTGTATGCCACACGAATACAGGCTGCAAAACTGTAATCAGAGGCGTGCTTCACCATAGCCTGTCCTTCCATTACTGAAACCATTCACTCATTTATTCTTAAGAATTCAGACCCCGGGCCAGTAGGCTCCTGTTTAATCCCTAGTGTCCATCCTAGTTTATTTTGTTTTTAAAGTTCTGGTTTGAAGATTGGAGAGGGGGGAGTTTCTTGCCTCACTTAGTTTGGTGGAATAAATTGTAATGTACTTAATGATGGTGTAGTACCATGACTGTTCGATTTCTTTCTCTCCTTTTACCATTAATTATTTGTAGCAAAGTCAGACAATAATGTCAGGACAAAAAATGAGTTGAAATTAAGAAGTGGTTTCACAGTTTCTTATTTGTGCCTTGAAACTGTAGTGGGGCTGCACAGATGAAGAGGGAAAAGCTTACCATGTCACTGAAAAATAGCAATGTAGTATGAGAAGCAAGTATCGATATGCAGATGCTCTTTATATTGAAAAGAGGGAGACTGATAACCCCTTCCCTTCTGCAGTGACACCAGCCATTGTTTCAAGGCCAAAATACAAAACTGAACATTACAAATCTGTTGTCAATTTCAGTGCATTTAGCCTTCAGTTCTAAAGGCAAAAGGATAGGCAGGCAAATTCCTTTCCCCCTTTCCTCTCTAGAGCAGCAATAATAGTAGCAGTGGTCAATCTATATAAACCAAGAGGGATATGTAAAGTTTCCCCAGGACAGTTATTACCCTGCACAGACAATAGATATCTTTGCAATTAGCCCTGAATCAGGCCAACACTATCAAAACTTGGGGTTTTGTTGTTGTTGTCCAGAAGCACTCTAGGAGATAAAGTTCACTCTGGACATGAGCAGTAGAGAGTTGGCTGCATTATGGACATCAGTCCTGAGACATCCAATTTAATAGGGCCAAATATCCAATAAAAGCAAATGCTACAGAAGACGATGCATTTGTAATGAAACCTGACTGTGCCTGGCAAGGGATGTAAGAGGCAAATGCTAAATTATGTATTTTTTGCCCTTTATCTATGCCTTCATTTTTACCCTGAGTGAGCATGACAAATGTCCCTGTGACTTCCTTAAGCTTTTCTGCACGATTCAGGAATGGAGATACAGACTGGTAAACAGTAAACACCTAAGAAAAGTATATAAAGCTTTTATAACCCTTTTTAAGAAGCTGAACTCTTACCTATAGTCTGTATAACTCAGTGAATGTACTATTTAACTTTTTACCACACTAACAGTTTCTGCTCTTGAGACTAAGAGAAATGAGCAAGTAATTGTTTATTTCTCCTCAACTGCATTTTTGATTGCAAGTGTCTTGCAAATTTTGCACAACTGTACAGGAGAGTGGCCTTTCTACAGCTCATTTTAAGTAAATCTGTATTCATTTGAACCCAAATGACAAATTGCACATTAAGATTTGTATAGAATTCCAGGTACAGTGGAATATTTATATCATCTAAAAGAATCTGTTTGTATTAAATAATTTATCAACTGCATGACTTGTTTGTTATAATTTGTGATATTTTGTATAATTCTCATATAAAAATGCTTGACCTGAAATTAATTGCAATGTTTGCTCCAATTGTTTATTTTAGATTCTTGCTGAGTTTTCTTTTCTCCAGTGGACATCAAGTAGGAAATTTCAAGGCACCACTATAGCCTGATTGTCAAAACCAAGCTATACAAATGTAAGAGGAGTGCCGATATGTTACATGAATCCTCTCCAGTTGTGTTCCCTATAATACGAGGATTTCATAATCCCTATGTGTGTTGGTTTCATAATCCCCATGCAGATGATCAGTAAATCTTCTGCCACACTCAGTAAATTTGGGGTGGGTGGGTTCAGACAAAGAATCGACTAATTCCAGTGCTGTCACTTTACATGATTCTCTTACACAGAAAATCCAGGTGAGGTGGAAACGTGAAAATTTCCTGTAGATAGTAATTTGTGCTGGTTGTTCATGCATGTATTTTAGTATATGTACATTAGGAAGATGTGATTCATCATGGCTTTCCACTTCATATTATGGCAAGCGGTGTCTAATCATGTCTTTCAGTACATATGGATAGGCTAAAATGAAAAACACTGTGATTATTACCCCCTATGATGGTATTTTCTTTTTTTAATGTGGGATTTCTTCACTCAGAGCAGCTCACACAGTAGAGTAAGGAATAAAGCCATGATAAAATAAAAATAATTCTCAACAAAAAGGCAAGCCAAGAGCAGAAACAGTTAAACAGAGTAAAAACATCCTATCACCACCAGTTTTTCTTAATCCTTAAGAACTCAGCCATGCTTCTCCCATCAGGTCTATGGAGGGGTTTAAATACTTTTTCTTACACAGAAGCATTTCATGTTCAGGAAGAGAAGTATATAACAAAGTGAACTACAGAAGACTTTTAGACTTATGGGAGGGAGGGAGGGTGCCTGGGGAATAAAGCATACCCAATGACTTTGGAATGAGTATATTCCCTTCATCCATCTGGCTGTGCAGCTCTAGTACATAGCACCCTCATGCCAGCAAATTCTCAGTACTGCCTTGTCAAGCCATTTACAAGACAGCAACCTGTTGCTATGCTACAGCTCTTCAGCCTGCATATTATCTTGGTGGAGACAGATTTACAACTTTCAAGGAGCAAATTCAGCTTATATTGTGTCAAGTTTGAAACAATGTTGTATTCTTTCTACTTTTTTAAAGCACTGTGCTTAAAGATCTAATATGCATCTTTACTCCATTATCTTTCAAACTAGAAGGGGTGTGCTGTAAATGAAGTGGATGTTGAGATGAATGTTCATTTTCATAAATTAGTATATACACAAGTTTCACACAATGGAATCAAAAACCTTTGCTGCAAAATCTGTACATCCCTGGGGCTTAAAATTACAAAGTTTGTAACCATCCTACTCTGGCAGCAATACAGAAAGAGAACACTGGTATTTTTAGTAAGATTCTTAAATGTATGGTATCAAAACAGCAAACTGTCCTTACAATATGACACAGAATTGTAACCCATACAAACATATACTCTGCTATATATGGCTTTGATTAGTACAGCTTATTGTTGGGGAGAAATTAATCATCAACAAATAAACTTTCCTGCTAGTATGACCCGGCATGGCATACCATATGTTCTGAGCAGCTAGATAGAAGCCCCTACTGTTACATTTTCCTCTCAACCTTTTACTTCCTATTCCTTTCTCTTACTTACATAGTTTTGACATAATTCTGTGCTGAATTTTCAACACTCTAAATTCACCCAATGAAATGGCAGTTTCAGGAGGTGAAGAATTCTGCAAGACTTCCTTTTGTTTCATTTTTTAATTGCACACTGCTGATTGTTTTTAGCTGTTTTTTTTTAGAATGAATGTACAGCTTTAGCACCATTTCTAAAAATTGTCATATTCTTGTTATGATTCCTGCCAATCATGTTTCAGCTGGGAATCTGGCTGTATACTAGTGTGACACCAATCTGTCTGATTTGGTTATGTGAGGAAATAATAAAGAAAAATCAGAGTAAGAACAAGAATCAGTGCCCTCATTCTACATAGACTTGAAGACAATTCCATATAAAGTTTGGGTATCTGTTGACATTGCTCTCATTCTCACGCCTAGTATGCAAACATTTTCTCTACCTTTCACAGTCTTCCTAACCACTTAAAACAACTTCAAAAATACATGTTGGTGTGCAAAAGCTAATTAACAGGCCTCTTTTCCTCCCTGGCTGAGTTTTTGCATCAAGCAATCTTTGTAAAATATCAAGATCACCAGCACCTTGTATAATATCTTCATACAGTCATTTTGTGTTGCTTAGGTAAGGCATTCTTGTCCAATTCATTATGCAAAGAAAATGCATGCTAGTCTGTAATTTTTTTCTGGCTACACTTGCCTTGTCTTTCTGTATTTTGTTTGAGAATGCTTTGCAGTATAAAGTTCATTGCCATTTGCAGTCTCACAACATTAGCTTTCCATGTTATGAACTGGACTACGTTTGTAGTATTTAGAAATCTCAAAAGTTTAATAATTTGGCTGAAGTGTCCTTGTAGAGATGCTCCTGCTCAATGAGATGGTTTGTTGTTTTGTTGTTGAACATCCTTAGCTTCAACTAATTCAGGAAGCTGTAGTACTGCACACTGCAATCCATACCAAGGCAAGGACGCTTTGCAGATTTCTTCCCAACAGTCATTGTCTATATCATAGCCCACTACATCCTGAGTTGGAACCTCCCGAGAGTCTTGCCACTTCTTTCCCCCAATGAGAAGTGCAGTTTCCTCCACTACTGCCAAACCATAACTAAATCGATCATAGACCAATGGCCTTAAACGTGTCCACTGATTCTGCCTAGGATCATACATTTCAATTTCAGAGAACGGTTCATAAAGCCCTAAAAATGTAAAAATTGTATCTCTGATTGTGGCCATCTGGTGCCCAAACCGAGAAATACTCATTGGGGCTTGCTTTGTCCATTCTCCTTCCACAGTACTCAATGAATACATATCTTTACTTGTGTTATTTTGATCCACGTGTTTGCCACCAGATATATAAATGATGTTCTTGCAAACAGCGCCTGCATGACCATGCATTTTACATGGCAAATTCTGAATCTTTGCCCATCTGTTTTGGCTAATATTGTAGACTTCCACTGATGAATGCAGTGATCCATTCTCACCTTGCCCACCAATTGCAAAGATGTGGTTTTCTAAGACACAACAAGAAAACTGACTTCTCTTGTCCAGCATCCCTGTGGCTTGGATCCACTTGTTAAACCTGGGATCATAGCGATGGACTTTGTTTGTAACTGTCAAAGTGGGACTTTTTGGATTACTTTGCAAATCTTCTATTTCACCACCTAATACATATAAAAAGTTTCCAATTGTACACACACAGTGATTTTGTACTCTGTTCTGCAGTTGTGTTAAAGTTTGCCATCTGTGGTTGTAAACGTCAAAAGCCACCACATCACTGACAGGCCCTTCATGTGCAATCATACCTCCAAGGAGGATAATCCGCGTCTTCTGGTTTCTCAGGGTAGTGTACTTATCCTGAAGGATTGGTTGTCTGAAGATAAGTGAATGGTAGTTTATTGCATTTATGATTAGGCATTTTATGGGAGCTGTCAGTGGTACTTCTGTCTGTGTGTAGACCTTTCGCAGATCTTCCACTGGAATAAGACCATGTCGTATATGTTCCAACAGGCTAGTAGTGTGGGTTAACCTCAGTTTATCATGCCTCAGCCACTTCAGCACTAGATCAAGAAAGTCATGCTCTTTGACCATGGGGACATCAGGAGATTCTACTATTGCTTTCAAAGTCTGGAAGTTCAGCTCAAGCAGCCCAGCAAAATCCAGATCCAGCAGCTTCCAGAGGTTAGTAATTATATATTTTCCAGTTGCTGATAAAGCATCTGGAAGATAGAATTTTGCAGCAACATTGGCAGAAAAACAGCAGTTCTCCAGAGTAAGATTATTAGTCAGGTACTGGCTGCACAAGCCAATTGCCTCAGTCACTTGCAAGTAAGTAGCGGCTTCCAAGGTATCTTCCAAACTATCAAAAGACAAGGGCAACCAGGAAGTATAGATGAAATCCAGAACATGTTGCAGACCAATGGCTGAGATGACTTGCAGGTGAATGATGGCATCCTTTGATTCTTTCGTATAGCTCTTGAACATGGCCCTGAAGTAATCACTGGAACAGGCCAGCAAAGACTTGTGAGCGGGGAACTCATTCTCTTTTACCTTCAACAAAATATCGCACAGCAAACCTTCTGCTCGGAGGGTTTGGTACTGAGACAGCACAGTGCTGCAATGCCCTTTACAGTAGGACAGGAAGTAACTCATTGTGCAGAGCAGAAAACTTTAAAGCACCATTTTCAGTTGAAAAGAGAAGAAAAGAAACCACAACAGGGCATCAATCGAACTGTACAAGCACACTTTGGAAGGAAGCCTTAGAAGAACAATCATCAGCTTCATCAGCTGGATACAAAGAGCCCACTTACTGATTTCACATCCCTCTCCATGCTGGGACTCATGCATTCATTCATAAAGCTGAATCTAGTAACATCTTCAGACACTTGTTTCTCTCACCTCCATTTCCTGCTTAAGAGTAGATTCTCCACAGGAGATGCGAGCTACCGCTTGGCCAGCATCAGGTGACAGATGTGGGACTGAGATGGCATTAAGTGACATTTTGTATCCGCTCAGCTCTCTCTTTTGGCCTTCCTTTGTCTCTTAACCTGATTAAATAGATCCTCTCTGGCTGCCGGTGCATCACGAAAGGAAAGGAGGAGAGGTGAACTTTGCTGCAGCTTTAGCCCAAGCTCAGTATTTCACTCTTAGACGAGTTTAGCTCTTATTTCCCCAGGGCCATCGAACCACATATGGAGATCACTGCTTTTGGGAAGTCTTGGCTGAAGATCACATCGGCACCTACAAATTAGAGCTGGAGGAACTTCCTGAGCACACAGGTCTTTAATCTGAAAGCAGAAAGACTGGCAAAAGACTAGGATTAGTCAACGGTATAATTTGACATGCATTTTGGAGCCCTTTGGTTTATACGATATCACATTAACTCACAGTGACCAGAATAGAATGCAAACACTAGCTGCCTTGTCATAGCTGCCCAAACGCTGAACCGACACGAGCGGGGGAGGGCAAAGTTGTCGCTTTGCAAGGAGTGTGAGCCAAAGTATGTGACTTTGATTGACCTGAATGGAAATCATGAGGGTAACATATTTCTGAAGAGAGGTGACAAAAATAGAACTCCAAGTTATGTCATATAAAGTGAGATCTGTTTGTTGTGGCACGGTGGCCTGATAAGTGAGTTCCAAGTTAGTAACTGTTAAGCTTAAACTTCCTTGGACAGCCCATCACAGAAGGATTTGGAATAGAAAAACATATAGAGCGAAATTAAATGCAGGTAAAGAGAGTTTCTCAGTAATTGCCATTTGGGACTTGGAATATCCAATTCCCTGAAGGGCCAAGTGCAGCCAGATGTACATGGGCACACTGATGATTGGTTTCTGAGCACTGATGGATACTGATTGATACTCCTTTTTTCAGCTTTCATTCTTAGTGTTTAAAAAAAAAGTGGGCGGATGACAAGGCTACTGAAGTCAAGGGGCTGTCTTCTCTCTCAGAGGCCAAAAGACATTTGAAGAGAGGCCCCTCCCTGTTTTGCCGGTAAGTTTCAACTTTTGTTAGCACTGCAAGTAAAAGGTTATTATACTTACTTGTGTTATAGGTGGTTAGAGTTTTGAGCTGAGGAGACCCAACTTCAAATCCCTGCTAAGTAATAAAGTGACTTCAGACCAGTTGTGCTCTCTCAGCCTAATCTATTTTGCAGGGTTGTTATAAGGATAGAACACAGGAAGGAAAAGATCTACGTCATCCTGAGTACCTTGGAGGATAGGCAGGATAAAAATATGATAGATTTTCTCTGTATGCTACTATTAGACAGCTGACAAAGTTTCCCAGCTGATTATACAAGGAAGTTTGTCTTAAATATTTATTTTAATGTGCCCTAAATTATAAAATGTTCATCATGTACCAAAAAATATGCAAAGTTTTTCTGATGCAATCTGTTTGTTGTATAGTGGCCCATCATGGTATACCAAGACAAATTAGTGGCCGAGCACTTTGTTTCTCAGAGCAGAAACAAATGTTCATGCCAATTGTGTGGAAAAACCATTGGTAGGGCTGTACCACTTTAAACGGCAGGTGCTGAATTCCATATTAGAATCTCCCTTTTATACTATAGAGAAATAAGTTTTTTTAATATGTATACCATTAGAATATGATTCTTTCTGAATAGTCACAGGATGGCTTGTTGTAATACAAAACCAAAAGCAATGTAATACCTCTTATTAGGAGCAACAAAAATTACAAAACATGGCTTTTGTTGTGGGAATTTGTGTTGGACTATTGTGGGCTATCTGCAAACTCTTTGTGCTTGTAATACAGTAGCATTTTGAAAGTGTCCCAAATGCCGGCACTGATGTGTGATATGACCTCAGACCAAACAAAAAGCTACCAGCTTGCCTGCCTATGTGTGCTGAGGGATCATCTTCCTCTAGACCTTTTTATATAAAGAAATAGTATTGATAAACTACATGCAAACTTTTATTGTTAAGTTATAACAGTGTTTCACAATCCCCCCCCCCCGAATTCTGTTTTTAAAAAGAAGGTGTTTAGGTCAATCATTAATCTTATGAATATGTTCAAAAGTACAAATGAAGAAGGGCCAGGTTTCCCAGCCACACAATCTATATGATCTGATTTTATGATGCATATATCACACACACAGTCCCTGTGCAAACACAACAGTCTTGATGGAGAAGGAGGTCAAACCAGGGTCAAACCATGGCTCTATCTAGCTCAGTATTTATTGTACCTGGTAGTGGTACAGCAGAGTCTTGGGCACAGAAAGGTCTCTCCCAGAACCTGTAATCTAAGAGTTTTTAGCAAGATGTTAGAGGCTGAACCTGGGATATTTTGAATGTCAAGCAAGTACTCTTATGTCTGAGCTAAGACTATTCTCCCAGGGCCTTTAAGGTGTTAGGAAAGATCAGCTGCTCTGTTTCCTGGGCTGGTAGTAGAAATATAATCCTGATCTGGATGGCCCAAACTAGCCTGGTTAGTCCTGGTTAGTATTTGGATGGGAGACCACCAAGAAAATCCAGGTCTAAGCACCACAGAGGAGAATAAGCCTTAATTTTGTGACTTGCAGACTTATTTGATGAGACCAGTTAGCCCCATAAACTCATTTTATTCCTTGAGTGGGGCAAAATATAACTACACTGCTAACCATGTGGACTATCTTTCATGAGAAGAAAACCCTAGAAAGAGATAAAGGAAAAAACAGGGCTTTTTTTGTAGAAAAAGCCCAGCCAGAACTCATTAGCATAATTGGCCACACCCAACAGCAGGAACTCATTAGCATATTAGGCCACACCCCTGACAGCACAGGTCATTAGCATATGAGGCCACACTCCTGTGTTACCAGAAGTGTGGTCATCCACCCACACCCACCTTTTGCTTCTTATTCTATTTACCTTGTTTGTTGTCAAAACCCAGGGCTTTTTTTGTAGCAGGAACTCCTTTGCATGTAAGGCCACACACCCCTAATGTAGCCAATCCTAATCAGTTTCTGCTGTTGGGTGTGGCCTATTATGCTAATGAGTTCCTGCTGGGCGTGGCCAACTCAGGAACCAGCCGGAACTCCGTTCCTGTGCGTTCCTGCCCAAAAATAGCCCTGGAAAAAACAATGGTGCAATGGGAAGAAAATTTTATTCCAATGTATTAAATTACCCCTATGCATTTCGCACTGAGCTTCTTCAGAGAGAGCTGTGGAATATAAAAGCAGCAATGCTCCCACTAAACCAGCTTTGGAGGATTTTCCCGATGTTTTCTAAATATGTCATTTTCTGTGTTTCCAAGATTATTATTCCTACAGTTCTTTTTTGGAATTTTATTTTGTTGTTCTGGGTGAAAGTAGAGAGACACAAGGGAGTCATTTTTATTTTGTAGATACTTACCACCAGTGTAAGAATACAGATTTTGTGGGCACCCCTAATATTAGTGTCCTGCCTTTTATTCTCTATGGACAAGGTGCTGAGCAGGGCAAACAGAGCGATGGAAACTGTGTGTCCCAGGTGAACCTTTTCTGCTCTGCTCTGCACCTGTTCTCTTCACAACTATTTGCATCTGATCTCACCCAATTGAAGGGATTTGTTGGCACATATTTTGCCATGGTGAAGACTTACCCTGGCATACACTGAAGGGCAGCTCTCTAGGGATGCATACTCAAGGTCATATTATACAGACTCATTCACACTTAATTCCCAGGTCACAAGCCCATGCAGAGGTAACCATCATGGCCATCCTGAGCAAGAGTGCATCCTTCCAAGTCTGCTGAAATCAGTGGGATGAGAAGGGCATAACTCTGCCTGGGATGGCATCGTAGTTTTAGGTATGTTTTATGGGGTGTGTTCCATTGTGGCCCTGGCTGCTCCATAACCATGACAGCAAAAAAAAGTCAATGTTTCTGCTATTCTAGTACACCTGTATTGAGTGTGATTGCAGAAACAGGAAATGTTCGCTCTCCCAGACAATGAAGAGGATGTAAACATGTATGTGGAGTCCCTCAAAGAAATGTCAGTGTCTCTCAAAAAGGAGCCGTAACAGGATTCCCCTTGGATCTCAGATACCCACAATCAGTATTATTCACAGTCAAAAAATGTCACCAAAAACTGCTTTGATTAGAGGAGATAAAACTCACAACAAAATACATTTTCCCAGGGAAATGTATTCCCCATTTTTCCTTTGGTCATATGATTTTTGCCTTAAATATATCAGTACAACATACTTGGCATTAAATTGAATGACAGCTATATTTTCTCTCTCTTTTTGGCACTAACTAGAAGAGTCTCCTGGGCTGATATTAAAAACAATAGTTCCATTCCCTGCAACTAGTTTGTATAAGAATTGCAATTGTGAGAGTGAACTCTAATCTTAGGGCCGTAAGGAGCTGCATTTTGATTTCATTATAAATGGCTGCTATTAAGTTAGCTAAAATCAAACTTTAAAGAAAGGTTTCCTCTCCCACACAGCTCTGCATCACAAAGGTGCCTCAGGGTGTCCTCTAGAGCTGGCTAATTACATCTTCTAATAAAGGGAAAAGAAGCATTAACACCTGCAAGTGGCTTTAAGCCTCCATTTCTGGTTTGCTACAATTCCCTTCTTAAATCAAATGGCAGTATTTGCAAAACTGTCACTGAATGATTGAACAGATCATGTGTCCCGAACCTATTATTATAGGCTATGTGCCATAGCTTAGAGGCACACAAGAGGAAAGAAAGTATTGAGCCTTGTCTGTAGGGAGCTTTGGAGTTATCAAGGACCTAATCGCTGCAAGTCACGACAGATCAAGCGGATTCATGAGCTGTATATACAAGCACAGGAATTCATATGAGGAGGGAATGAAATCAGAAGGGCAGAGTCCCAAGTTCCTTTCTGAACTGTTTCCCCTAACCACCATATTCAGATTTGGGTGAATACTGCCTTTGCAATCCTTTTGCAAAATGAAGGTGACTCCCTGGAGGAAGGATGAGATAAAAACGAATAGACAGATGCATCATACAATTGGAAGAAATGCACAGTCAACACAACACTTAACTCTAGGCCAGGCAAGCCCAATCTTGTCAGATCTTGGATGCTAAGCAGGGCCAGCCCTGACTAGTATTTGGATGGGAGAGCTCAGAGGAAATCCAGGGTTGTGATGCCGACGCAGGTGATGGCAAGCCACCTCTGAACATCCCTTGCCTTCAAGCCCGACTGGGGGTCGCCAGAAGGCAGCTTGGCTTGATGGCAAAAAATCCAACGTTTAGTAAAAAAACATTAATATAATTTATTTTTATTTATTTATTTGCATTATTTATAGTCTGCCTTTCCCACAGGGACTCAAGGCGGAGTACACATGTGAGTCAGTGCAATCAACAAAATGGG